GGGCGGGCGCGCGGCGTCGCGGCACGTCACGTGGCGGGGGAGCGGCCTCGCGCGCGCGTGGAGGCGAGGAGGAGGGAGCGGCGCGAGGGGCGGTCACGTGACGCGGGTGGGCGCCGCCGCCGCTGCTGCTTTGTGAGCACATTGGGCAGGTACGGAGCGGGGGGAGCGCCGCGGGGCGCGGGGCGCAGCGCTGCCCTCCCCCGCTTCCCCTCAGCCCCCCGCCTCGCGTGGGGGATTGTGGGCCCGCCGCCCTCCCCCCCCCGCTAACCCTCAACGTTCTGGGGCGGCCGTTGCGCGTCCCCCCTTCCTGCACCCCCCGCCCCCTCCCCCGCCCTCTCCCACCTCTCCCCCCCCTTCGCCCTCGCGGCGCCGAGGCCCAACGGCCGCTTTTGTCCGGGGGCGGCGGTGCCCGGCCGTCCCTCAGCGCTGCCGGCGCTCCGGGGGGGGAGACGAGGCCCGGTCGGGCCGCGCGGCGCTGCCCTACTTTTGCCGGCGCCCTCCGCACCGCCCCGCCGCTCCCGGGGCTGCGGCCTGCCCCCTGCTATCGGGCGGCGGGGAGGCGGCGGCCCGGCCCTGAGGTGCGCTGCTTCCCGCCTTCCTCGGGGGCGGCCCGAGCCGAGGTCGGGATGGGGGGGGCGGCCGCGTCCTCAGCCGCGTGCGGGGGCGGGGCGGGGCGCCTCCCGTCTGAGCCCCGTGCCGGGCTGCGCTTCCGTGCCTTCACGTCAATGGGGCCGTGCCGAGTCGGGGGCCACCGGTTGTGTGAGGACGGGGCTCCGCGTTAGCCGGCCTCCATCAGCCTGCGGGCGTGTGGGAAGTCGGGCAGGGCTTTGCCACGGAGCTTGAGAGCTTGGTCGTGTGGCGTTTAGTTGTAATAATAATAATAATAAAGTTGTTTGCTGTTGTTGCTGAAGGAAATGACAGCGGGAAAACGGACCGGGAGAAACACTTCTGGAAGGAACTGGGTGTAGAGAGGCATCTGGTGCGCCTTGAAGTCACACCGGATCCGAACTCTATAAGGTGCAGTGGATGCAGAAAGGCGCACTGCCGTGCCCCCTGTGCTGCTTGGTGCCGCCTGAGGGTCGCTCAGGTGCTGCGGCTCGCAGCCTTGTGCAGGTGTGCGAAGGCTGAGTGCTCGCAGTCCTCTCAGTTGTGTTGGGAGGAGCTTTGTGAAAGAGAAAGTTGTGGCTTTGTGTTGAGCTACATGAGGGAAGCTGACAAGGGCCAAGCGTGGAGCAGTGATCAAGCCCTAGTCGGCTCAGTTTTAGTGAGCGATGGAGGCTTACAATAAAGCAGCAAATCAAGGCAATGCCCTCTGGGGTGGCAGTCAGTGCTGAAATGGAGGGGCTGTCCTGGCGTATGAGTGGCTTTTCTTTTTTCAAGGGGAGAAACTGGAGCTGTGAGTGAAGCAGAGGGAGGGGGAGGGAGGATGTGCAGGCCTGGAGCGGCACTTTCCATTTTAAATTGAGCCCTTCACAGAAAATAGCATCAGCTAAGCCTTTGGAAACCTCTTTTTTTTTTTTTTTTTGTTTGCTTATTTTTTAAATATTTACCAGACACTTTTAGCAATTGTCTTGGTTATATTGTGATCTGTGATGGAATCTGGGCTTGCATTTTTACCTGAGTGACTCACTATTTATACTTGAGCTTGATCTCCCTGTGGTGGTTTAACTTAACTTGCTTAAAGAATTTATTTTTAACCTTATGCTAGGTAACTGTAAAGCATGGTAGGCTAAATCATTTTGCAGCATTAATGATGTTTTGGGACTCCAGGAGTGTTACATGCAGAAACTGGATTAACTGGTGTGAACTGATTTTGATGTGTAGTCTGGAAAATGGGCAAGCTTTTTGTTTATAACCTAAACATTCTTGGTAACTTGGAGGAGGGAGGGAGAAGTGGGAATGCTCTGTTCTCTTTTGTTCTGGCTGCAGTTTTATCAGCATACTGATTTTAAAAAGTGTTTATAATAATAAAACAGCAACAACAACAAGAACAAAAAAAGGCGTAGAAATTCAGAACCTTGATCTGTTCCACTTCTGTTGTTTTGACTAGTCCTCAGGAAAGCTCCTGAGCTTGCAAAAGGACTTCACTGTTCAAGATTAGAAGTGCAGATTTACCACTAAAATGTAGGGTAAGCCAAGGAGAACCCTAACAACAAAATCTTGTTGGTCACTGTAACCTGCTCTTTCTCTTTTTGTTTTGTTATACTTTTGGGATTATGGGGGTAGATGTTTTGTTTTATTTTGCTTCCATGTGCTTTTATGCACCATTTTTGGTATGTTTTATATTTGTTGCTAGTGTCCTTCTAATGATAGTGATCGTAGCAGAATGATGTGCTGCTTAATAGTACTTGAGAAATGTTTGTATGGTGGAATATTGGTATTATGTTAATAACTAGTACTAATAGTAATGTTTACTTGTAATTTCAGTTGTGATTAGTACCAGTACTTGGACTTGTGAAAGAAGGTTCTTTGTGAAAGAATAAGAATGAATACAGATATGGATGATCTTATCTTTGTTTCATGTTAAGTAGAAGCCCAGGAGCAGCACTCAGAAAAAACTGTGCTTGGTTTGCAGCAGCCTTGTATGACCTTGTTAAGAGAGAAGCTGAGTGACTTGTCCCCTTTACAAAAGGCTAGATTCAAAGAGACTTTGTGTTACATTTGCGTTCTTCAAAACTGTTGAGCAGAAGGTGCGAGGAAATACAAGTAATAACTTGACTTCAGTGTTGGTGGTCTGCTGGATCTTAACATTTTATTTATTTTGTTTCTTTTTGTCCCTGATAGGGTCTGCTGGCTTGTAAACCATTGTATCCTGCTTGCTTCTCAGAGACTTGGCTTGGACTTGTGCTGTTTTTCATACGGCTTTCATGAACAGGTTATTTTCATTAAAGTGAGAGCTGGGATGAAAGGTTTTGAAATAGACAGAGACAGAGAGCTGTTGGAGAGGGTCCAGAGGAGAGCCACAAAGATGATCAGGGGGCTGGAGCACCTCCCCTATAAAAGACAGGCTGAGGGAGCTGGGCTTGTTCAGCCTGGAGGAAAGAAGGCTGTGGGGTGACCTCATTGCAGCCTTTCAGTACCTAAAGGGAGCCTACAAACAGGAGGGGAGTCAACTCTTTGAAAGGGTAGGTAACTGCAGGACAAGGGGAAATAGTTTTAAGTTGAGGGAGGGAAGATTTAGGTTGGATGTCAGGGGGAAATTCTTTACAGAAAGAGTGGTGAGGTACTGGAACAGGCTGCCCAGAGAGGTTGTGGATGCCCTGTCCCTGGAGGTGTTCAGGGCCAGATTGGATGGGGCCCTGGGCAGCCTGGTCTAGCATTAAATGGGGAGGTTGGTAGCTCTGCCTGTGGCAGGGGGGTTGGAGATTCATGATCCTTGAGGTCCCTTCCAACCTGGGCCACTCTGTGTTTCTGTAAAATAGCTCCTTTGCAATTACTTAAGGCTCATATTGTCCAAAAATTGTATGAAGGCTTTCTCTGTGCTGCTCTAACATGGAACTCGTGCTCTTCAACTTTTGCCAGCTGACAGAGCTCCCAGTCCATCCAGGGCCTCTTCCAATCTGTTTCACAAGTTACCTGCAGCCCTTCTCCCCCATGACTTCTCAATACTCTGAAGAGTGAGCAGTGACTTAAGACAGATTAAAGGTGATACGGTCTGATGCCTGAGATCTCATCGCTTGCTCAGCTTGCTTTTACTACATCGTAACTCTTTCGCTGAGCATGTTGTTTTATTGATGTTCTCTGGAGATTGTAAAACTGGCAGGATAGGTTATATGAACAGCTTTGCACAGCTCCCTTGAATGGAGCTCTAACTCTGAGTTCCCTGGAAATTCTTTTGTCTGGCTATCTTTGTGAATGCTTCTTCGTTTCATCTTCTTTGGAAGATAAACTTGCCAGATGTTCTCCTCCTCCCTCCCCAGCTTGTTGAAATCAAGTTTTCCCGCAGATGAGCGTGGAGGAGTCTCTGACCTGTTTAGTTTTAATATTCTTTGCATTGAAAACAATGAAATGTTTCCCATGCTGGGAGAGCTTTGGTCTTTCTCAAGACCTGAGACTTGCCCTACATAGTACTTGTGTGGTGAACATTATGGATTTTTCTTTTCTTGCTTTATCATACAGGAAACACAGTTTATTCCAGATCTGCAGAAGGTGCAGATTCAGCAGAATCATTTAGTGTTTGAATTTCAAGTTATGTGCAGATCTCAGCCATCAGATTTGCCCTTCTTTAACCTAGTTTAATGGAAAAGAAGTCCTTCTTACTATGATAGGCAGCCCTGCGGCTGAAAGTGTAAAACCTGAATTTTGTGCCTAACTGTTATCCACTTATATTTCTTAATATTCCTAATGGTTTGCTGCACAGGAAGGAGGTCCTACAATTCTGCTGTGGCTTTGTGTTGAACACTTTGGTTGTATTTCCTATGACTACAATATTGTTCCTAGAAGCATGTGGTTTTTTAAAGTTTTTCCTTGTTTTTCATTTGGTCTGAAATACTACCGGGATCATGGCTGTTTTATGGTAAATACTAGGCCTGTAATATTTCTTATTATCACATTCTCTTTGTTTCCTATACTAGGAGTTAATTATTGATTTTTTTTTTTCTTATTTGAAATCTTGCATTTTCATTTTTTTCTTGATTTTAAAAAGTTTCTGTTTTTGTAGATAGTGTTTTGACAGTGTGAATCCAAAAGGAATCCTGATGCTAAACGCTGCAGGATTGTACAACAGAGCATGTACTGTACTGTATTTGGGAAACTCAGGTTCATGCTTTGGCTGGGCTGTACCCCAAGGAAGTGGTGACTTATGCTCTTGGGCTTTTATTTCAACTTTCACTCTCATGTTCTTCAGGCATGATCTATTCTGACACTGATGGAAAAGTGGCCTAACTTACTGATGCTAACTTCAAGTGCCTAAATGTGCTGAGGAGCAGTGCTGCACTTCCATCCAACCTTGTGCTTCTCTTTCTTTCAGTAGTGACTGAATGGATTTCTGAGTGTTTTGAACATGGGTGAAGTGCTATTAGGCAGTTATCTCAAATTTGCTTTAGGGAGGTTGAAATAGTTTTAGGAGCTTGGTGAAAGCAAGTTAATAAGCATGCAAAAGTTGTTTAAATGTTTGAGGAAAGTTTGTGTCTTCTGATACATGTCCTCAGTCTCGCCCTGTGCTGCTTCTTGTTGTTCTAGTATATCCAGGAACTTTCCTGTGCATCTTACGAAAAGATTTTCTTTCTTGAATAGCTGTTTGTTGTGATTGCAAGTAGGAAACTCCTTCTGGCTTTATGTGGCTACATATAATCATATATATCACTGTCTATTGTCTCATCTCTTGGTGGGACAATATATATTGCTGGGTTGAGGTCTTAATGATGCTTGTACTGTCTGATTCAATTGAAGTTACTAGACTTTCACTTGTCTTTGGACTGTCTGAACAGAGAAGCTAGAGCTAGATGCTTGTGTGACATCTTTGAGAACAACTTCACAACTTCAGGAATTTCTTCCCCTCTTACTTCATGTGACCAAAGGCTGGCTGAGGTTGGCAGGGGCTGTCTGGTGACAAACTGCTCCAAGCCGTCCCCAGGCACAGATTCCTGCAGCAGGCTGTCCAGAACCACGTCCAGATGGCTGTTGAAGACAGATGAAGAGCAGACTGACTGAAGAACTTCTCTGGACAGCCTGTTTCAGTGTTCTGCCACCTGGACAGTAAAGGAGCGTTTCTTCTTGGTCAGATGGTGCCTCTCGTGTTCCAATTGGTACCCTTTTCCTTATGTCCTGACACCAGGCACCACTTTAAAGAGCCTGACTCCATCTTGTGTGCACCCTGCCTTCAGGCATTTGTAGACACCCGTGAGAACTCCTACTCTTGAGCCTTGCCTTTTCTAGGTTAAACTTCTTGACAAATCTGCAGTCCTTCAGGCCATGTGATCTTATTTACCTTTTGGAAAGCAGTGGATGATGGATTGAATTTTGGAAGGATGGTGGTAACAAATTGTTCTTGACTGTTCATAGGTGGAAAGTTGAATGGGTTTTAGATATGCACATAAGAACGCTATGAAAATGGAATAAGCTCCATATTTTAAGTCTGATTAATTTTTGTTTGAAGATAGGGAATAATTGGGTGTTGGTGCAAACTGAACTGAGAATTGTAACTTGGTAGTTTTGTGAGGGAGACAGGTTGAATGTTTGACTGCCTGAGAGTTGATAAAACTGTCCAAGTCCTATCTGGACAGTATGTTCTGTCTAGGAATCATGTGGATTGTAAATGGTGGTTTAATGTGCACATAATGTTTATGAAAAGTTAAACAGAATTCTTACAGTACTTCTTTGTACTGAGAAGTTCATTTTGCAAAGATCTATGCAATAAAACGATTTTTGAAAGTATTTTTTTAATGAGACTAAACCCAGAATATTGTAGATTTAGGCAAATCTAGGTAAAGCAATAGTGGATGGGATCTGCCTGTTCTTCCTATTCTTACCACTCCCCAGGACCTCCACAACTGTGGATAAAGGTTCAAACAAAGTAAGGTGGCTAAAGCTGTTTCATGGCTAGGGATCTTGAATCTGAGAAATGCTGGGACAGCTCTTTTTGTGCAGTCCTCTGAAATGAAACACCAGTGAGATTTGATTTCTGTTAGGAAACTTACCTCAAATATTTATGACTTATGCCTTGCTGCTTGTGATGATTTCTGGGGAGTGCTCTGAGTACTTGAGTCATGAGAGTGATGGAGGATAATAATTTTCAACTTTTGTATACTCCTTTGTTAAAAAATGCATTAAAATAACATATATAGAAGGCATACTAATTGTTTCTGGAGTTATAAAATTACCTATTTATTAGAAGTTACACTGAAACATATGGCAGGGAACCTCAGAACCATCCAACTTTGTCTCTAAGCAAAATTTGATCTTAAAAACATACTGTTGACACATCTTACCTTGCAGGCTAGAACAAGCAAGTCTTGAAGATTGAGTTAGACTGTGCTCAGTAAAAGCTTTTCCATCTAGCAAAGAAGAAGTTGCTGTTTGGGATGGAAACTGGATGTAGCAGAGAACAAACAGGAGAGTTGAGTAGCTGAAGTAGTCGTTTTCATCATCAGGACCTGACAGAGCAGTGGGTGATCAGGAACTGTTTTTATGGCTGTAATTCCTTTTATCAACAGAACTTGACTGAAAGCTGACACACAGCTCTTCTGCCCCTTCCAGGTACTGCTTGCTGTTAGAGAAAAGTTAGGATAAGTTGAGTGTTCTTTTAATAGTATTTTTCCCTTTGACTAAACAGGTCATGAAGTATGTTGAGCGGCAAAATGAGTGGTGTGTGGATGAGACAGAGGAGGAGGATGTGGCTTGGGGTAATTACATGGCAGCTTTGGGGAGGGACAGAAGTGGGGTAAGAGTTTGATGTTGTTCTGATAGAATGGGCTGCTACTTTGATTTTCTTGTTGGAGTTATCTGGAGTCATTAATGCTGGGAAACCTTAGGTGTGTCTCTGCAAACAAACAAAATTCCTGCGTTGAGCTGCAATGAATGTTAGTGATGAAATAGTGAGGCTCACTGTTCCTGGATGTGGGGAGATCACAGGGTATGAAGAGGTTCCTATTCCCTGCATCCCATTTGTCTGTTCAGTCGGTGCAGTGAGATGCTTAATCTTGTGACTGTGCTTCTGTCCAGAACTGATGTTGCTCTGCTAGCTAGGGCTGCGGTCATGCAAGATGGAAAGCTTAGGGTTTGTTTAGTTTTATTTCTCCTGATATTCCTGTATATGCTTTTCTGTTCTGCATTCACATATACATGTAGTGCAGTGTTGATGAGTTAGCTTGTTTTTTTCCACAGCTTTATATATGCAGAGTAACCAAAATACTATTTTTCTCCAAGATTTTCTCT